AGACAGATGACCTAATGTAATTATTTTAAATGGGATACTATTGTCTTCTTTCTATATATCATAAAACTTTACAATTCCTTTCATGTAAATAATAGAAATTGGCTATTTCATTGTTTACTTGTGTTAAAAGAAATTATACACTCAATCATAGGTTTTTTTTTACCTCTCTATCATCTTACTTACTTTAAGTTCAACTTATGTGCTGTTGTATAGTCCTCTCAATTATTTCCTCTAGGTATTTTTAATCACTGCGTTTCTGAAGTTTTATTCCTTTTTACCTTATTATTCTCTTTTCTTTCCTTTAATGAAATATCTATAGTAACTGTACTGTACACTATTTATTCATGCCATGTTGTTTTTACCTTTACAATATTTGTCTTGATTTATCTCTGAGAACTTATATGTTGGGTTTTTACTTTAGCAACGGAATTTGTTGAGCTTGTATTGTGAGTTCCTCAATCAACTTGATGTTTAATTCAAAAAGGATTGCATCTTCCTCTCCAAATGAGGTCTACTTCTCTATCTTTAGACTCAATGAATGCACTACCTTCATCCAGCATTAAACCAGAAGACTGGGAATAATCTCAAGGATCTTCAATTGTCTATGTCTCTCTCTGCCCCCAATATAGTTTATCAAAAAGTACAGTCAGCTCTACATCCTGTGCACTACTCCATAGTAGGCCATCTCCTCTCACTGGCAATGATCTTTTAAATAGCCTCCCCATTCCCAATTGAAGAAGAGACTAACTGGCAATAGTCTATTTTTTAAACTCTATCCTGATGTCTCTAAAACAGGATTTCTTAAGCTCAGCACTATTGGCATTTTGGGCCAGATAATTCTTTGCTGTTAGTGGTTGTTCTGTTCATTGCTGGATGCTTAACAGCATCTTTGGCCTCTACCCATGAGCAAATCTGCCCTCCTCCCAGTTAAGACAATGAAAAATGTTTCCAGACACTCTCAAATGTCCCTGGAAGAGTGGAGAGGATTTCCCCAAGGTGAGAACCACTACCTTGAAACATAAGTTTGATCATGTCACTCCCCTCCTACTATTTCAATGATTGCTTACTTAATTCATTCAACAAACATGTTTTACACAAGATTCTGTGCAAGACTAAAGGAATACGATGATGAACAAGTTAGATGGGGTCATTGTTCACACAACTTATATTCTACTTTAGTAAACAATCTAAGTCCACAAAAAAGTATAAATTTTAGTAAGCTCTGCCAAAGAAACAAGGTAGGGATGGGGCAAAATGTGCTCCAGGTGGTAACATTTCAGGTCCATAATGAAAGATGAGGAGAAGCTAGATATGCAAAGAGTGGTGGGAGGAAGGTTCCAGAGAGAGGAAAGATCACATGCAAATGCTTTCAAACAGAAGAGCACGATATGTCTGCGGAACTGAGGTAAGACCTATGAGGATAAGCATTGGTCAGCAAGGAAGAAGAGTCTACAGACTTTGGCAGGATCAGGCCCAGTTGTATAAGATATGGCAAGGGTTTGGATTTTATTCTAAGTGAAATAGGAAGCCACAGGTTGATGAGGGAATAATCTTATTTTTTTAAAATCACTTCCTGCTATGTAAGGAATGGAGTGGGAAGGGATGGTCTCCTTTTCCTAGGAAACCAAGATGGGAAATGACAGTGGCCTGGACAAAGCTAGTGGCATTGGAG